AAAAAAAATTATAATTTCCGACGGGTAAAAAAAGGGTTGTAATATTAATTTAGAGGCAGTTGGTGCGACAGTTGATGAAAGGGTCGCAATGTTAATATAGAGGCATTTGGTGCGACAGTTGATGAAACGGTCGCAATTCCAATTTTGCGACGGTTTGTGCAACGGTTCTGATAACCGTCGCAAAATTGCCTGGTGATGGACGATTCTGCGACGGTTCCCAAACCGTCGCAATGTTGTCTTTGCGGCAGTTCTAACCGTCGCAATGTAGGCCATATAACCGTCGCAAAATCGTCATTTTCTTGTAGTGAAACAAACAGTGTAGTAAAATAATGAATATATATTTTTAAATATCAAATTCAATTTTAGATTATTATAAATAAACATAAGAAAACTTTAATGTCTCAACTACGTGATTTAGTGCTTCGATATCAAACTTCTTATGCATTATAATTTGGTTTAAGAAAGCTAGTAATGGTGTATATATAGTTGCCTCCACTCTCTTGATAATTTTTAGTTGGTTCAAATAGTTTGTGTGTAATGCCATGATTGTCTTGTGAGATGCATATCCCTTTCTCTCTATGATTTTTTTTATTTGGTTCAATTGACTTGTGTATAATGTAATTATTGTCTTGTGGGATGCATATGTGGTAAATGTTAGATCAAATGAAAGTTCCCTATCATCAAGAATAGAATATTTAATTAGTTTGTAAAACTACACCAAATTAGTCGTTTAGCCAGAGCATGAAATATAAACTTACTAAAAGCAAACTTAGTCATGAATGTATGTATGCAGAGAATCTACGAATTCAATATGAAGTCTTGCTTTTCAAATATTTCATTTTCCCATTTTTTTTATTGATAAATTATAACCTTACGATGTACCAAAAAAATTATAAACTTACCTTTATGTTTAATAGGATAACCTTTTTGTGCCACTGTTTGTCAATTGATTTTTTGGGAAGCTGTTATAATCTCCTTGGATGATGAGACGCCGAGAATGAACCACTGTAATGTATATTGAATTATTGATCTTTATTTACTGATTTATCATCTGAAGTTCCTCTATGAAGCTGGTATTCAATGAATTGGTTAGCCATTAATGTATGTTGAAGATAAAATAAATAAATAAATAAATAAATGGTTAATTTCATCCTTCAGATTATAACGGTGGCATAGAAGAAGATATGTCATCCTCTACACGATGGAGGTTTTGGCATGAAATCTTTCTCGTCCTTAAATGAATCTGCCACGCTGCGTTTACGTGGAATTTTGTTCATTCTAATGCTCAGTGGGAATGTGGTATTCCTTGATGCATCAAGAAGGTCAACCATCTTTTGTCATTGGCATACAATAAATACCAACATGAGTTAGGTCTTGAAGAGTGATTTCAATGTTAATTTTTGGACTGATCTTTGGTGCATGAAAACTTCCATTGTTGATGTGTTGAATATTTCGGAGAGGCTTAAGCTCCGTTTACGGGTCTCCGTTGCTTGCTTTGTCCATAACTCTGCTTGGGCTATCCCCCAACAAATCCTCCATAAGCTCCCAAATACAATAATAGAGAGTTGAATTCTTATTTTAAAGTTTTTTTTTCAAATCTTTTTAATAAACAATATAGCTTTTCTTTTCTTTCTATAGACTTTTAGATAAACATTCTGTTTTAAGAAATTTCTTTTTCTCTTTAAAACAAACTTGTAAAAAGAAGAAAAGAGAAGATATAAACACAACAATTTTATATTAATTTGTCTTAATTTAAGACTATGTCTAATTCTCACTAACCCACTAAAAATTTTCACTAACTTAATATTGGTTACAATTTTTTTTAGTGAAATATCTTCAATTTCAACATAGAATATTCTTTGACTTATTTTTCTAAACAATATAATAGACATTCTCTA